GGGGTGTTTATTAGGCCATGGTGGTTTCTGAGAACACAAACTGGGATTAGGCTCCCTCATCCCCATGGTCCAGACACAAGGAAGTAAGTCCCTTGCACCTGTCAGTGAGCCTTATTGCCAGCAGAGAGGAGCTGTATTTGATTATTATTTTTTTTAAACAGCTCAGTAGATCATGTCAGCAGACAACAATGTGCTCACTCCACAAGACACAGAATTTGACAGGCAAAACAACCTGCCAGTTACTTATCATTAGTGCAAATGACTGATTTTTCGGTTCACTGGCAGTTCAGAATAATCTGAAGGTTTTATTTTGAGTCAAACTGAAGAATATTTTTTCCAGAACTTTCAGCTCACCTTGATATTTTACATTTCTACTCCAATCTCTTTTAAATAAAACTTTTTATTATCTTCTAAAAACTGGAAGAAAAAAAAAAAAAACCCCAAAAAAAAGTGGGGTGCTTCATTTGATCCAAAACTATTCCTATTAGTTTAGCTTCCAGCTTAAAAAAGCTGGGTGAGAGAGGAGTAGGGAGGTTGAGGAGGGAAGAGTGTTTGTATTCAACAGCAAATATTTCTCCCGGTAAAGAGAAAACTATGGTCTGTTGAAACCCCATATTTTCCCTGAACAAAGCCTTCTTATGAAAATTTCAGAACAGCCTTATCCTGCTTCCCCCCGCTTCCCCTGCCCTCCCAAGTCAGGTTGCAAAGCCCTTCACCCACATCTGGTTTTTGTAGGCTCAGAGATCATAAGTCAAAATGGAAAGAGCTGCTCATTTCCCATCACTCTCATCCCTCACTCCCAACAGTATCCAAGGTCTTTTGCACATCAGTGAATCCCATTCTGCCTCATCCCTGACTATTTCAGCCATCCAGAGCCAGCCTTATGCCATCCACTGGCTTGGAAATAAAAACACATTTAAGAGTCAACCAAGGGGAAAAAAAAAAAAGGCAGTAGGTGTGCAGGCCAACCCTGCAGGTGATTCTGCAATTGAGTCTTGGCTCAGGGCAGTAAGCTTTAGTGACTTTTAATTTCCTCTGTCCCCAGGCATCCTGGATAATATCACTCAGATAGCACCAATTCAACTCCTGACCTGGCAGACAGTGCTGGGTGTCCCATCGTGCTCCATTGAGTGCACTAAGCCTCACATAAGCCCACTAAGCCACTGGGCTACTTTGGTGAGTCATTTAATAACACTGAACATGCTTTCCCCTACAACTTTGCAAGGAGGGGAAGAATCTACTGCAGGGAATTAAAGACCCCCAAACAAATTTTAAACACAAATTGAATTTTTTAATTGGACTGCAATGCTGAAGTATATTCAGATCTTGACCTCAAACCAGATCAGGAAGGAGAAGTAGGCAGTCAGTTGTCTCTGGAGGTTTGTAGGGGGTCACAGGTGCCTTTAATAACTGATACTGCAAGTTAATAGCTTGGTTAGGGATGGGAATAGACGAAAGATGATACCAAGGAGTTGAGTTTTAGTCCAGCTTGCTTTGAAACAAAAGCTAATATCACAGGATGATCAAAACGGGAACAGGGGGTTGGAAAGACTCATGGATTAGTATATTTAAGCTCTTGCTATTGTAGACCTTCTCTTCTTGTAATTGTGACAATTTTTTTTAAGTTTGTCAAGCCACATCCTTATGCAGGACATTCCTGCATTGATTGCTCCTACTGGGAAGCAATTTCAAAATCTGAGTGTTAGAAACTTTCTCCTAATTAGCAGCCCAGGACTCTGTGGTTAGCAAATAATATTCTCCTTTAGTTTTAGTAGCTACTTTTCTTGTCTCTTTAGAGGAAATCCACTAAGAGGGTCCTGACCCAAATAGCAACAAGGAACAAATTATATTTGTTCCAGGCTTGAGAGGATGGGTATCAATCGAATGCTGGATCATGACCACAGTTTTAGTTGATGCCTATTGATCAGCTGTTGGTTACCCTCAAAAAAAAGAAGTGTTGAACCATTATTTGGTAGCTGCACTGCTACCTTGCACTCCCTTTCATTTTATCCCTATTCTCTGCCTCAGCTGCACGTGGGTGCACATTTCCAAAGGTGCCAAAGTTTGCTGAACCAAGTTGAAAGTTTGCACACAGCTTTGAGAATTGCAGACTCCAGGCAGGATCTCAGATCTAAGTCTCCAGTTCATCACCTGCTGAAGGATCAACAAAAACATATTGTCTGAGAGCCACTGGGTTGCAAAGTACTTAAGCATTTGGCTGCTGCTGAGAGTCCTACTCTTATGTTTATTCAGACCACCCACCTCTCCAATTTGCAGACAACAGGAACCAGGAGCATTTGGCATTTTTGAGCATCTTCGATCTGTTAACTGACATTTTCTGAAGATGAAAACCTTTGGGTTGACTGCCCATGAGAGAAAGCCCCCTAACCCCCAGACAGCCCTGTATGGGCCTTGGCAGTGGGCCCAGACAACGTCAACAAGTTTTGAGCATGACTTATAGCACTATCTGAGACAGTGAAGAAAGCAGAAACTCCCATGACAGCATTCACATTCAGGTCTTGTTGATGAAACTACCAGTCATTAATGCCAAAAACAGCAGAGATTATTTTTTACCATGTGGGCTTCAAAATTCACATCAACAGGCAGAGTAGCATCTTTCACATAGTTCCTTAAAACACCTCTATGCCACAAGCCTATTCCTCACACCCACCTGGCAGCAGGCTCGCCCATGGCAAGGCACAGCTTCCTCCTCATTTCATCCTCCTCCAACACTCCCATTTGCGTTTTGTCCACTTGTTGCATCCTGTCTAATTCCTGTTCAGGCGTTCATCAGGGAGGGGAAGGTTGTTTTTGCTACTTGCCTGTGCTGCACCCAAAGTAATGAGCCCAGAACCTTTATGTGATCTCCTACCTGATAGTCTGATTTAAGGTGGGACTACAGGGAAGAGTTTCCTTTCTTCAGCCTTGACAACCAAGTGGGAAACATACAATTTCATCAAAACAAAGATAATTGGGAAACCTGCTTCAGGGTCTGTCCAAAACATTTAATTTGATATCAGCATTCTAGGGTTGGAGTTACTTAACTTTGCCCTCCCTCTTTCCACACTTTCAAACCAAAGTTCTGCACATCAAAAATATCCTTTTGAAAGAGAAGTCAAAATGCTGTCTGCAAGCCATGGGAAAATATTTGATGTCAACATCCCTATTCTTCCCTTGACCAAAACTCAAACCATATTTGACACTAAGGAGCAAACAGGCTGGGCCTTTCAGAAGCACTTTTGGGCCAAATTTACTACTAATTCGCAAACTCTAATCACCTCTTCATGCAAAGCAACACAACCACTACTTCAGGTCATTTGTGACCTTGGCCTTATTCAAAACAAATGAGAGCCTAATGCTTACAGATTTTAAGTCCTAATCCGCAAACATCCAAACCCTTGCTTTGTTTGCTCAGTATTAAAAAAATATGGGTTTTACTTTCTTTTTTTCCTTGCGTCTCTTTTCAAACAAATCCTGCCTTTGGACAAGCTGACATTGTGTGTGTCCTTGAGTGTGTTCAAAAGCAAGGCAGAGCGTTCCTTTCTCATTACATGGCTTGGCTTATCAGCCCAGAAAAGGTTTGGTTTTCAGGTGTGGCTCCGTGCCAGGTGTGACTGGCCACACACCATTCACACAGCACCAGAGGCAGGGGTACCAAGCATAAATAGGCTTACAAACCGTTCTTTATCACAAGCACCAGGAAACTCTGCTCTCACATGCTGATCCTCACAGACAAGCAAACAGCCTGTAGCCTCAGAAGATGGATCAGGAGGAATTAAATTATATTTAACAGGTTGATTGAGCGATATGATATGATTTGCCCACAGAAAGCAGGAATAGATCCTCAGCTGTATTTTTGTTTCACTGCTCACTGCTCTATAGCCACAACCCATAGAGAAGATAAGCTGGTAAAACTGGGGCAAGGTATTTGCCTCTTCTAGTGTGTTATCAAGGGCATTAATGCAGAGATTTTACCTCTGAAAGTGGACTGGAAATTATTTAAAAGAGATAGACCAACAAGGAAATTCCTAGACAATGTGATGAGCTGGTGTGCTAGATTATGCCACTGCAAAGGGTCTGCATCCTAGGATACCCATAAAAACAGGACTACCTTGAATCCATTGAGGTGTCCTCTTTTTGCACACAATAACAACAAACTGATAACTCAGCTTTCACCTTTTAATTTTGAAATTGAATACTCTATTTACATATAAATGTAAAATACTCTACATGTGAACATTTTTCTTTAATGTCTCAGTGAAAATGGACTCCATATGCTGTCTGGATGTCCAACAACCCCAAGACCTTCTACTATTCTTTCTTGTGCCACTTTGCATTTATCTAATACTTTATGAAGTTACTCAGAGGTTACTACTAGAATCATTCAGAACATGCATCTTCAGTAGGATTTGTAATGAACAGTCCACATCTCTTCCACCAGTGAATCATTAAAACCCATGCCCTGGTGTTCTTCAGTTGCCCAAACAGTTGTCTCTTTGACTGGTTGACATTGCCAAACCAGCTGGAGTGTACTGAAAAGTAGTGCCTCTTGCCAAGAAGGCCTTTCTCCTAGCAGACCAGCTCTTGCAAAAAAGAGGGAGGGGTGGAGATGGTAGAAAGAAGCAGCTCCTCTGGAGATGTGGTGTGTGTAAAGAGATTGCAAGCTTTGAGAGGGCAGTGCAGCCACTGGTAACTTTTCTAAGCTCCTAGTAACCCTTGCACTTGTTTAAATGTCTCTGTACTCTGGAGAAGCTGCAAACATTTGCAGGCTCTAGGTAATTCCTGAGGAGGTAGCATTGGCTAGTTAATTATGCCCTGCAGCTCTTCACTCACAGAATTAATCCATAGCCCTGAATTCACAGTCTGAATTCATTCCTCTGATTCACAGCCTGGACAGAGTTCTTGCAACAGGGGAATCTCAGGTGCCTGGTGCTTCTGGTGCAAGTTTTCAGGTGACATGCCAGTTAGCAACACCTTCAGGATTTGCCAGTGTTTTCACAGGAGGAGGTCCTGAGTACTGAGATGGTTACCTAGTCCCTTCCCACATCTTGAAGCAGATGTATCATTCCCTGAAGCATTCAGCAGGTAAAGGAGCTCAAGTCACTTTTTATACAGTTGGTGATATGGCTGTCCTGATCACAGGGGCACAGCATCCTGCAGTCTTAGAGGTGTTTACCATTGCAATAATCCCACAAGTTGGATACTTGCTATTCCCATTGTACTCCTAGAGAACTGAGTGTAACTTGCCTGAGGCAGAATGTGAAGTCTGGAGCAGAACAGGGAGCTGAGCACAAGTCCCTGAAATTCTTGGCAGGCACTCCATGCTCAGGCCATCCCAATGGCCTGTCATATTTGTGAAAACATCTGGCAGGGCGTTAGGTGGAGTGTCTAAGATTTTAACTTGCTTGAGCATGCATGGAAGTGCCAGCCATACCTATGTGGGTGAATCTGCTGCAGCAAGATGGATGGGATGCCATTGCATCACAGCCCAATAACATTCTGCAAAACCCTCAGGAAGAGAACCTGGTGCCAGGCACGGGATTGGCAGGCGAACTGTGGGCAGCCAAGGAACCTCTGCACAAGCAGCATCATGCAACACCTGATCCAAAGCCCAAAGCAGCAGCCATCGTCTCCAACACGCTTTGAACACGCTTGCTCACTCAACACCAGAGGTATTTGAGAGAGATCTGTTTTGTGTGTGGTAATGTCCAGCTGGCAAGAGATAACTATTAGATTTTTGCAGTGCCCTGCACATGCTCCAAATTAAGCAAACCCTGAGATTTAAGGCATAAATCACAGCACAATGTTTTTTCTTCTAAGATGAAGCTCTTTCAAAATCCAGCTTCAACAAAGTGCTCAATTTAGGGTGCAGAAGCACTAACCTGAACTTACTAGCAATGCTCCTTGAGACTTTGAGATGCCCCCATTCATTCAGAGATCAGTCAAAACATGATAATGCTCCATCTCTGTATGACTTCCTGTCTTGGGGCTTTGTTTTCTCAGGACAGTGGTGAACATGGGATGAAAATCCTGTGGAAACTGATGGAAAGCATTGAAGCACACTTGGGCTCAGCTCTCCAGCAGCAGGGCACTAAGCACCAGGGTGGGCTTTTGCTTTTTATTTTACAAAGATAAAACCCCTGCCTGGAGTTTGTACAGCTGGGAGATGAATGGAGTCAGTGCACAAAAACCACCCACCACTGGCAGCAGCAGAGAGATAAAAGTTGCTAGAATTTGATTGCACCCATTATTAAAACTTATCTTTAACCATCTCTCTGTCTATTGATTTCTAGCCAACTATTAACTAGCAATGACCTTAGTGGCTTGAAAATAACTTGGGAAGTCAAGTAAACAAAGGGGAACCCAGCTGCATACAAAGAACCAAGATATTTGCGGAGACCCTCTTTGCTTCTGCTCATTGCAATAAACTTGTGCTGAGTATTTTTCCATTTAAACATCTGAGTCAATGATCCAAGAAGCTGAGGGTGTGGACAAGCAACTGAGTGTACAGAGGAGCACAAGGAAGGAATAGGAGTTAATTGTAATTGTGTCTAGAGCCTTGAATTTAAGTAATCTCAGGCAAATTCAGAAGACAAAGGTTCACTTTTTAAGAGGTTAGCTCCACTGGCTGTAAGCTTTCATGTATATTAAGGAGAAACATTAATTATACACAGGTCAATTTGACTTTTTCAGTACATAGCATTATACTGTATCTTGTGCCAAAGAAAGCCACTTTTTGTTGTTTAAAAACCTGACAGAAATTGGCAATAGGAGTTCTTTTAGACTGAGAAACCAAGTATTTCATCATACTGCTGTGTTTTATCATCCAAGCTATTTCAGGCCTCATGATTCGTCTTTTCATGATCTAAGAATTTTCACCCAATGTCTTTTCCCGCTACCAGCACATCTACCTCTAGCTGTACAAGGCTTCAAGATTCCCTCATAGTCACCATGACCTACACCTTAAGCCAGCCCAGTACCCACAGCATCCTCAAAACTCTCCCCCTTTCCAATACACTCAGCTCTTTTCCCATGTCCTGAAACTATCAGGTGGGGAAGAAGCAGCATTTACCATGGTTTGTTTCAGGCTATTTGTGCTCTAACTGGACAGTCATCCAGCTGGCCAAACAGCACCTATAACTTTTGAAAACTCCTTGAGTCTTGTACACAGAGCATACTATTGCCTGACCATTGATTTTCCAGAAGGATTATTTGTGTTTCCCTATTTAGGTGGCTGATCAACAGGTTCTACAATTCCTGAAAGAATACAATAAAAATAGTAACACATTTTGACAATAATTAACATTCTTATACACCACATTCTACACTACCTTGTTTTTGGCCCTGCTTAGTATTATGGTCAGAGCAGTAGTACCTAGGAAAGTCTCAAAATCGTGGAAAAATATGGCCAACATGTGAGCCTGTTGATTTAAATCCCATCCTGGATCTAGTATCAGATCTCTGTGTGAGAATAAAGTGAAACATGCAAAACAGGGCCAATTGTGGTGACTGTACAGATCAAAGTGGGAAACTGCAGAGAGAAATGTGGGATCCATTGGGTTTCAAAAATCAACTGTAGGTCTGTTTCTCCTTTACGGAGAAAGGTGGGGGTATTCACATATCCAAGTATACACAGGGCATAGTCAGACATAATGGAGCAAGAAAAGGCAATGTCTCTTTAGTCATAGTCCCACACCACAGAAAAAGCTCTTGCAAAATTCTGGTGGTTCCAGTTTATGGGGAAATCCTTTAGAAGAAATTTGTGTGCTTTCTCATTCTTGCCATAGGCAAACCAGGACTGCAGGGGCAGCATAAAGGAAGTCATTTGAGGCCAGAAGAGGAAGATATCCAAACTCAACTTTGAATCCTAAATAGAGCTTTAAATATTTTGGCAATTCAGCCATCCACACAAAGGATTCTTCCTGGACTGACACTCAGATGATCCACCATACATCCTCTTCTAAGAATTTTTGAACCTTTTGACTCAAATTGGTCTCGTTCGAAAGAGTGGTAGAAATGTCAGAAACAAGAAGCGCCTACAGGATTTGGCAGAACCTATAGAGGAGTGGAGGTAGAGATACAGAGGAGTTTCTGTGGAAAGGCACATGGTGCACAGCCCTTAGGGAATGAACAGCTGCCTGGTTGAACAGGACGTGTGTCCTGGCTGGCCAACCAGAGCTTGCTCAGCTCTGTCCCAGCTACAGCATTACGTTATCTTCCGTGTCGTAGAGTCACAGGAAGAGCAGTGTGAAAAGAGCTGGGGTTATTATGGTAGAAACAGAAGTAGGATGAAAAGGCCAAGGGACAAAAATCCACAGGAGACTTCAGTAACTCTGGTGTTCAGGAAACAACAAGGCTCTTTCCCATCCCTTCATCTTCTTCCTGTGAAGGGTGAGATTACCCACCCTAAAGGCAGGAAGACACATACACCTCCCTCACCAGAAGAGGCATGGCATTATAATAGCAGGGCTATTTTTTTCCCCAGGAAAAAGAATGAAATCAGCTATTTACACTGGACAAATTACAAGCTCTGGAAAGCACATGAGGCACACAAAGAGAGCAGTTGTATCACAAATAAATATGTGGTGGGGGGAACTTATTGATTAGCTTTGTAAACGCAGTTGCCCAATCAATAGCAATTTCTGGAAATGCCCAGTACTTATTTGGTACAGCTTTTACAATGAAGATAAATAATAAGAGTACTTAAGGGGCACATCTCCTGACACCATTGCCAAGCCCTGTACAACACAAAACCAGAACATGGTACAACAATTGCACAAGCCAGAACTAATACCCTATACTTCTAAAAAAAGAAAAATCACAAGCACAAATCCAAACACAGCCACAGTATCAAAATAAACAGCTGGATCCCAAAGGTATCTAGACAAGTTCCTGCTGTTCTTGCTGTAGATGGCTGGCATTGGACCCAGGATGGTATGAAACTCACCTGTTTGTTATACCCAGCTGGGCAAACCATGTGTCCCCCAGGATCCCTGCTGGATGGGAGTACACAGATCCTCCCCTCCTCCTTGAATGAAAAGGATAGCCCTGAGAACAGTAAAAGCCCCAGATCTTGGAAGAAGTGTTTGCCTGACACATCTCCTCCATGCCAGCACCAGCCCCCCCTGCCTCTTGGAGACTTCATTTGGACACGCTGACCTCTTGCAATGCCTTGCTCTCTAAGGGAACCCATCAGGGCAGGGTCCCAAAGCAGGCAGGGCCCCAGAGAGACCGAAGCACATGCTGCTGGCACAACAGCAACTCAGCAAGGGGCATGGAGGTTGAACATTTCAGCAGTGGGGCTTCAGGGAGCCCCTCGTTAACCCTGACCCGGGCTCCTGGATGTACCACAGCCCTGTGCTAAAAGTAGCACCTGATGGGAAGAAGGGAAAATCCACCTCAGCTCCCCAGGGGCTTCTCTGCTTCCCTTCTTCACAGATAGGAAATTTGCTCACATTGTAACATGAGATCATAGCACAGGAAAGACTGAGGAACCAGACGCTCGTTTAAGCTGCAGCTTTTTTACTGCAGCTGCCAAGGATAACGATGTTTGCATGAAACGTGTTTACTGATATTGCTCACAGCCCTCCAGTGAGGTGGCCTGTGCACGAGCCTGTGACCAGCTCATCATAACAAAGACTTTCACCCACCCTACTTGCTTTAACTGGCTGCTTCACTCTGAAAAGGGTGAGGCAGGCAGTTTTCACATCCACGGCACCCAACACTGCCCATGCAACCAATGGCTGGAGGAAGAGAGGAAAAGGGGTTTGTAATAGAGTCCCTCATATAGTTTTTGGTGCAGATTGCTGCCGGCTGGGTTTGAGAGGACAGGGTAGCTGTTCTTCTCACTGGACGGAGCCCAAAGGTGTTTAACATTCTCCCTTACAGCCCTAATGACTTTTCCCATCATCACACCCTTCCTTGAGAGGTGTCTCAGGACACAGATGTGTTGGGCAAATGCTGAAACCTTGTCTTTCCTACAGGAGAAATGTCATTTACTCCATCCCATGGTGAGGGACTCCATGGGACTGTACTGGTTTTTAAATCACGGCAGGATGAGAGGAGTTTATGTGGAATAGGAATGACTCATTTTTCTGTTCCTAAAATGTTGGTATTACTCACCAGAAAAGTCCCCACATATTCTGAGGGATTTCAGTGTTTTTTGTCTTTCATTAACAGCTCATCTTGTTTGCTTCCTCATCACAGCATCCTCCCAATAAGAACTTCCTGCATCCTTTGTCACCACCTCACAACATCATCGTGGCAGCCAAACAGCCCATGGAGGCTGGAAAATACATTAGGCAGCTACTGATCCCTTTGTCACATAGAGCAGGGTACGTTTGCCTCCATGACTTCAGCCCGTGTTCACCAGTATGGTTAAATGCGAAGGTTGTGGGTTGCATGGATTTTCCTTGTGACTCAATACAATTTTCATTTACAGTCTAGAGCTACACATTCCTTGCCAAAGGGTGCATAAACGAAAGCCTTCAGGTACCTTGCACAAACAGGAATGGTACCCTTACTTGAATTCCCATGTCTCCAAGGAGGGAGTGCATACATGCTACTTTTGGATCCTGACATAGCCAGTACAGGGAATTAAAGGCATAGCTAAATTATTTCAGCTCTTCGTGCCTACTTTCCCTAGCTGTACAACATGTTTTCTTTGCATTGACCTTGAGGCTAAACACAAATATCTAGGCCTGGAGTTGATACACACAAAAGACTGTACAAAGATAAAGAAAATTTCTTGGGGACCTGAAAAGCAGAGAAAGGGAATCCATTTAACTTAGGATTGGTGTGGGCTATGTCTCCCCTTCTCTTTCCCTCCATCCTACAAAATCTTAAAATTGCTTTTCTTGCTTTTTGTTGTAAATAATTGATGTGTGAAGTGCTGACTAATAAGTCTGGGGTTACAGGAAAGGAAACTTTGTTTCTTGGTTAAAAAATCCATTTCAGAGCATAGGCAGTTTCCTCCGGGGCTGGCTGGCAAGCCCTTGTCCACATAGTGAGCCCTGCAGACACAGACAATCCACCGCTGGGAGGTCATTCTGCAACAGGGGAACCCAAGCATTGCCCCACCAAGACTTTAGTAGTCCAGTCTGTATGAAATGGAGCATAGCAGAGTAAGAAGAATTTGTGCTGGGGCTGCAGTGTCATAGACAGCAGACCAAATTTTGGACTTCCCTAGATATTGCTGTACCAAAATAACAGTGAAGAGTGTCCTCAAAGCGCAGGACTTGGGGCTGCAATCTTGAGCATAAACCACTTACCATATAAAGGAATAGAGGAAATATTATCTGTACGTCACAAGAGAGAAGACCTCTTAATTTTTTTTCAGCACCTGACCTGCACTGATTTCATAGAATCATAGAATCATAGAATCAGCTGGGTTGGAAGGGACCTCAGAGATCATCAAGTCCAACCCTTGATCCACCATCGCTGCGGTTGCTAGACCATGGCACTAAGTGCCTCATTCAGTCTCTTCTTAAAAACCTCCAGGGACAGAGAATCCACTACTTCCCTGGGCAGCCCATTCCAATGTCTGATTACTCTCTCTGTAAAGAAATTCTTTCTAACATCTAACCTAAACCTCTCCTGGCACAACTTGAGACCATGCCCTCTTGTCTTGCTGATAATTGCCTGGGAAAAGAGATCAACCCCCACCTGGCTACCACCTCCTTTCAGGTAGTTGTAGAGAGTGAGGCCTCCCCTAAGCCTCCTCTTCTCCAGGCTGAACAACCCCAGCTCCCCCAGTCTCTCCTCATAGGACTTGTGCTCGAGTCCCTTCACCAGCCTAGTTGCCCTTCTCTGGACCTGCTCCAGCACCTCAATATCCTTCCTGAACTGAGGGGTCCAGAACTGGACACAGCACTCCAGGTGAAGCTTCACCAGCGCTGAGTACAGGGGAAGAATCACTTCCTTGGACCTGTTGGCCACACTCTTCCTGATACAGGCCAGGATGCCATTGGCCTTCTTGGCCACCTGGGCACACTGCTGGCTCATGTTCAGCTTCTTGTCAATCCAAACTCCCAGGTCCCTTTCTGCCTGGCTGCTCTCCAGCCACTCTGTCCCCAGCCTGTAGTGCTGCATGGGGTTATTGTGGCCAAAGTGCAGGACCCGGCACTTGGCCTTGTTGAACCTCATCCCATTGGAATCAGCCCAACTCCCCAACCTATCCAAGTCCCTCTGCAGAGCCCTCCTGTCATCCAGCTGATCGACACTCCCCCCCAGCTTAGTGTCATCTGCAGATTTACTGATGATGGACTCAATCTCCTCATCTAAATCATCGATAAAGATATTAAACAGAACTGGGCCCAACACTGATCCCTGGGGGACACCACTGGTGACCGGCCGCCAACTGGATGCAGCCCCGTTCACCACCATTCTCTGGGCCCAACCCTCCAGCCAGTTCCTGACCCAGTACAGGGTGCCCCTGTCCAAGCCATGGGCTGCCAGCTTTTTCAGGAGTATGCTGTGGGAGACGGTGTCAAAGGCTTTGCTGAAGTCCAGGTAGACACATCCACAGCCTTCCCCTCATCCACCAGGTGGGTCACCTGATCATAAAAGGAGATCGGGTTGG